ACTGAGACTGCCGAACAAACGTTTAACCAAATCAAAAATAGCTAGACGATCGTCGGATGACGCTCAGACTGCCTGAACCCAAGAAACCGTTCACAGTGGCCACAGACGCAAGTGATCATGGTATAGGTGCTCTATTGAGTCAGTCTAATAGAGTGGTTGAATGCGCGAGTCCTGTTCTCACACCCGATGAAGAGATGTATTCAACGATAGACAAGGAGTGTTTAGCAGTCGTGTGGGTAGTAGACAAATGGAGGCCGTACCTTTTAGGCAGACGGCTTCACATTGAGACTGATCATGAACCCCTGCACTGGTTGAAGACAGCAAGAGACCCCCGAGGGAAGTACTATGCAAGAGTACTAATTCAGTATCGGCCATGTTCCAGGAACGGAAAACGTAATGGCGGATTACTTGTCAAGACCAGATATAGGAGCCGATCTTCCAATGACGGTATATGCGGTGAATGGTTTCGAGGGAGGCCCGTTAGAACTTGTCCGGCAGCAGAAATCTGACCCTAACCTTCAAGAGGTCATCAGAGTGATAAAAGAGGGAGCAGACGTAGAGAAACGAACAATGGACAAGGAGGTAATAACGCTGCTTCGGCAAAAGGAACGACTGAGAGTGAACGTATATGGAGTCCTAAACTGGCAGGACGATGACGAGAATTGGGTGGCTGTGACCCCGAAAGACTGGCGGCGTAAGACGATACGCGAGTGTCACCAGGTAGCATATACAGGCATCTCAAGAACGACGGATTTACTACGAAAAAGTGCACACTAGCCGGGCATGAGAGATGATGTGGCTCAATATGTGTTAACTTGTCAGTAGTGTCAACTAATAAAAAGCGATCTATACGCACAACCGCCACTGCAGTCAATCCCAGTGACGGCAGTCGGTGATCTATGGTCGGTGGGTGTGATGGGACTGTTTCCACAGACAGCGAGCGGTAACCAGTACCTGCTAGTGATGACGGAACATGCTGCACGTTGGGTAGATGCCGTACCCATTGCAGACCAGCGGGCAAGAACAGTGACCAAAGTGGTAATCCGGCATATTGTAGCGTGTTACAGAATACTGAAGATGATATTAACTGACCAGGGTCCCTGTTTTGAAAGTGATGAGTTTAAAGCCCGTCTAAAACAGTTTAGCATCAAGAGAATACGATCTACACCGTATCATCCTCAGACAAACGGGCTTACAGAAAGAAACAACCGGACGTTAAAGGAATGGTTAGCATCTAAAGGAGGAAATTGGGAGAAAGAGTTACCACTGATTTTACTGGCGCATCGTTTCTCCATACAAGGAACAACCAAGAAGTCACCTTTCTTGCTCATGTATGGCAGACAGCCACGGTTTCCAATGCATAATAAGACCTGGCCACAATAACAGAAGTGGACGACAACAAGGTTAAGAAAAGAGAGGAGGGAGGCAGTAAGGAACGTGGAAGAGAAACAAATATCATACATAAAGAAGGCGCAACAACAGAGGAGAACATGGGGACCTTTTGCAGTGGGGGACTTAGTAAAGTGCACAGAACAGAAAAGTAACATAGCAAGGGGGCCAGGGTCGGGAAAGCTGATCTCAAAGTGGGAAGGACCATACGTTATCACGGAGAGACGTGGCTCGGTTTACACGATCCGGAGAGAAGACAAGCAGAAGCGCACAAATGCCAGTCAACTGCAGAGATGGTTTCAAGATCATCATGTATGTGAGTCACGAAAAGCTCCAAAGAAGACAGCTGTACGGCGATCAGAAAGACTACGACGACAACTTATTAAAAAGGGGACGAGTGTGGTGCGTGCTACTTATATTGATATAAGTAGTATATGACGTGAATCAGGAATGTAATGTCTGGCAGCAGAAGATGGGGAAGATCAAGAAAGGAAGAGTAGGGATAGAAAGTAATTAGTATGGAAATGCAAGAACAATGAAGTTCGAGACAATTATTGAACATTTTGCAAATTAAGTATTATAGTATGGTTTTTCTATTTTACCAAGTAGCTCTGTAATTTCGTGCTAAATATAATTTGGTTGTTCTTACCTCTGTTCTCCTTCACTACACTATTAATGCAATTGATGATTCATAAAAATGAAGGAACTATCAAAAAGATTGTACAGATCAGTTGTAGTGAAAGCGATGGAATCGAATGCTCTTTATGGCATAAAGGTGACCAAATACTCTCAGTTGTTGACAGAGTCAAAGGTTCTTCCTTGTGGATCGTCGAAAATTATGAAGCAGTGTCGTTTGTACCAGAGACACGACCATTAAATACTTCAGAATCAGACTTATATCTGCCTATATATAGCATCACAAAATGTATTGCCAGTTAAAATATTCACAACCCACCCCTAACATAGAAAATTCATAAGCCTCGTTAGTCTCCTATTTAAATTTCGGACTAATGACTTTCTATATCCATACATTGGAATTCAACAATAGAGAAAAGACCCTAACTATAGGTAGAATCTTCACATTATGGTCAATCTATGCATAGAAAAAAAGTTTAACCAGGAGTTTTAAGATGACTTTAATCACTAGAAACCTCTGAAAATCTACCTAATAACGAAATAAGTTATTGCCCGAGCAAATGAAATACATAATCATTTATTTTCGGATGTTTTTTGAGGAGCCTCTGTTCATTGTCAGTTGGACAAAACGTTCTTAGTTCATTGCAGACTTTTAAAATCATGTCAAAAGATATTTATTGTCTTCCGAAGACGATATATCGATTCTGAATTATTTCGTCCGGATGCCACCTTTGAAACATGTCACCATTACTAGGTAACTGACCTTTTGTGGAAAAGACCCTGTTGATACAATACTACAACTCGTTCAACAACAAGACCCCAATTTTAACCCTAATTACCTGCTTAAGCTTTAAATTCTTGAGGGTTGATTTGTCTGTCGTCGTAGCATTTCAAAGATTATGTATTTTAGTAATAAAGGATTTATCTGACAGCCAGATGTTAACACTGATTTGTAAATTAATTTTTTGTGTTACTCGACTGACCCTCGGAAAACATCTTTTTTCTTTACAAACGTTTCAAGCCTGAAATGCTCTAGCCGAATTTCCCTACGCTTTTACCAAGTGCAAAATATGATAAACGCTCTCAGTGGCTGGACATATGAACTTCACACATTCTTTAAACAAGTCTGGATTATAAGAACTTGAGTGTATAACATAAGCTGTTGTCAGAATCCATATAACATCCTAGCTGATTGCTGAAGTGTAGTATGCGCCATATAGAACCAGCTTATATGGCGAAACTTTTGCTCTGCAGAGTAAGACCAAAGAATTGAATTAGCGAGTATATAAATGGTCTGATTTATCCAAACACATTGTTGGGAGCATTCTTACCAGAAAATAATCCAAGTATATTGATTCTTTGAGACTCAAATCTATATACTAACCATGCTGAAAATGTATGTCGAGCTAACATTGCAAAAGCAAATTCTAAGTTAGTTTTTGAGTCGCTTGACAAGTCTTCATGAAGACTTTTGCAATGTTAGCTCGACATACATTTTCAGCATGGTTAGTATATAGATGACTTGGATCTTAATGTAAATAGATCAAGAATCGAGAAACTACTAGCAATGAATGATGCGTCTTTAATCTTAGAAATGGTATTGAGTTGTTATGTAGTTAGAAAGAAATATCTGGTTTTCAAATCACGATATGCCTAGTACAAAATATGATTTCTCATAGCCTTCCGCTAGTGCTGACGACTGATAAAACTAAATCGTTGAAATAGTTCAAATGGTTGTGAACGGGGTAGAAGAAGCATTGGCTTAACTGGTTTCTGTTTCTAGTAGCAATGAGTCACCAATGCCGCTGGGTAGGAAGCTAGATATTTTTGATGATGAAAGATAAAAAAATATTGGTAAATTATAGCGAGATACTTTCACTAGTACTTAATAATACGTTAAGTAGTCACTTGACCTGGCTCAGTCAACACCGAATTTCAGAATTCGACTACCCATATAAAGTATATAAATCGCCAGTGTATATGGTCTGCTCGAGTTGGACGGAAATGGTGTGACCAACAGCTAATGTCGAAGTCACACCTCGCGGTCGGCACCTAACGTGGACTACTCTTACGGAGCATCCAGGCACTATGGCTGCCTTAGAGACCGTATAACACGAAGGACGTTACCACAGGATTATATTAACTGGTGTGGGTACAACCGAAAGTGGGGCCACCACCGCATGAGACAGGCCATGGCGTGAGATCAATTGGTGCACGATGATTGCTTTTGAACCTGGCGATGATTGGTGAACTGTGACACTTTACTGGCCCTACAAGTAGAAGGTGTGCCTAGAGTCCGTTCTTCTATGTTCTGTCGTCGACTTTAAAGTGCTACCCTTAGGGTTTGTGTTGGGACTGAGGTTAAGTGGGTATTTAAGGGGATGTTTGTGAGTGTTTAAGATGCTTTAAGTTGTTAGAAGGTCACTTCTAAGACACCCGTAGTCTAATGAGTAAAGGTTTAGTGACTCGAGGGCTCTTCATAAGGCTTGATATTGAGTTCTCGAACTGATTTCGTGGCTCGCCTTTGGATACGTTCTAATGAATTCTTATCCTTTCGAAGGGAGGTGAGAAACACTGTGTTTTCGTACTCTGAATGAGGTTGAATAAAACTGCTGAAGACCAAGGGGGAAGTTCTGTCATATAACTGACCAAAAATGAGCTTCAACGTTGTCGGTGCAAAGTTTGCTCGAAAGACATTTTTGTAGCAGTAACCGCAATACTTCATATCATAGAGAACTACCAAAGACCTGTACACTTAATTTAGTGTCAGGATGGGAGCGAAAAGAAATCAAATGATTTGTACTAGCTAGCCATGGAAATAATGATTATTGGACCCATTTGATGGAAATGATCATAGTGAATTTCACATATATCCGTTGCAATTTTAAAGTTTTGATTAGTTTATGCAGTCTTTTTGATTTTCAGGACTACTATGTACAACTTAGTCCATGTGACCGCTGACTATTTTAAGCTACATGAAGGTTTTATGTAGGTTGGTGAGGCAAGGCGCCATGTTTGTCGTTGATCGTCCTAAGGTCCTGGAGTTGTTCATTTACACCAGAGATAAATGCGAAGTGGGAGACGTAAGATTATCTAATCGCTTTTATGTATTCTTTTATTCCTCTATGACGTTATATTTCACGTGTCATAAGCGGCGTAATATAGGTGTCAAGTTGTTTTCACATTAGTTGTCATACATCTTTCCTCATTATTGATGATTATCCTATGTGTAGTAAGACTTAGTCGTAGAAACATAGACCACCATGTATATGATTTGTGCCAGTAAAGGACATTCTATGGGGCTACAGCATGTGGAAAGTCAACGAAACCCAGCCTCCGGATTTTGGGGAAATTTTGAAGTTTTTCCTAAAGTCACAATAGAATTCGTAGTTTTTCACAGTCTGTGGAAATTTTGAGGGAACATTTGGGGGAAACCCAAGATTTCTCCACACATATCGGCGATTTCCCCATAACAACTTGAAATCTTGAGGTTTTTGTCTCATTCCCCTACAATTTTCCGTTACAGATTTCCAAAAAGTTCTTCAGAACTGGTAGGATTCCCCCAAAAATCGAAGGACCAGCAGTGAAGTACGTGCTTATCATATTTTCATACTGAAAACTATCGCTAAAATGTTTTTGGGCGGGATAGGTGCTTTCGCTTAACGGGTTACCGTGTTTAGTAGCAGTGGATCACCAAGACCTTCAGGCAGGAACCTAGGTATGTTAACCATAAAAGAAAAAGAAATCGGTCTATGTCACGTTTCGTCTTAAAGGACTTTTGGGAAGTCTCTTGGACTAGCTCAACCGGCAGCGAGTTCCAGTATTTGACAACTCTTAAGGAGTAGAAGTTGGGTCTCCAGTTTCTGGACGTTACTCCTTAGGTTTGTGTTGGAGCTATACTTAAGTGTTTAAGAGTATGTCCAGGAGTATTCAAGATGCTGTAAGCCATTAGGTCATCTCTAAAACTCCTGTACTTTGATGAGCAAAGTTTTAGTGATTGAAGGCGCTCTTCATAAGGCTTGAATTTGAGTTCCCGACCTGATTTCGTGGATCTCCGTTAGATGCATTACAAATGGAGGGTAACTTTGGGGAAATTCCTTCGAAAAGGTTATGAATATAGAACGGGATGCGCCTAGTTGTTACTTTTTTCCGCAGCCGGGAGTAAATAGTGCGAATTGTTCCCAGAATTTCTACACTGAGAGGAAAAGTATCATTATTAACACTTATCTTTCCCTAAATATCTACTTTTCCAGAAAAATTCACACTGATTTGTTTAATTTTCCTCTAAATCGACATTGAATTGTCTACCTTCCTCCAAGTTGAAGCAAAGATGTATACTGTTTAGAAGAATTAACACGCTAAAGTCAACTTTCGATAAACTTAAACTAGTTTAGTACCGTCTGTGTATTAGTGGAGTTCACCTTTAATTCATAGGAGCTTCCAAACTCTACGCACTTGATATGAATAAAAATAACAATTTACATGAGAAAAAATTAATCATGGATTCCAATAATATTATTATATCGTCGAGAGTCAGACGGCAAAATTATCTTAAACTATAATTTCAAAGAAGTTAACACGCGGTTAGTGTACATCTATTATGAAGCTTCACACTAAATACTAATGCGTACAAACGTCAACGTGCTACATCTAGTTCATTTCAATGTACTCAAATGCAGTAATTAAAGAGAGACATTTATCGAAAAAGAATTACACTAAATGGAGTGGCCACTATAGCACCCTTGTCAATAAAAAAAGCATCTCCGTCCACAGTTATGGACGTCTTTTTGTCAAATGCTATGAAGTACGGAAAGACAGAATATTATCAAGATTGGATGCCTGCATCTAAAAGACGGAAAATATAAATTAACAGTGACAACAGTTACTCACATTATCTTTCCACCGTAAACAGCACTTGTTGAATTTATCGTATATCATGCAACTATCCTTGGGTAGCAGTATCGTATACTTTAGAGAGATCCTTCTAACTGACGCTAGATAAGAAACTAGATATTAAATCACCTGTTGGTGGATATGGAAGACCCACCTATGGGAGTTGGGAAACCCTGATTTTAAATCAATGGTGCACATGGGCTCCATGATCCTTAAGGAACAAATGGCGTATGAACGAATTCTTGGCCACTGGCTACCATGAGACTGCATCTCCTTACGTTACTCAGCTACTTTGTGGATCAGACCTTTAGGTCGAAGGCTCGAGGTGTGGTCCCCTAAGAAAACCACCTGCTTCGGTCTGTGCACCCGGACAGTATCACAGCCCACACACAAATCAAGTGATTTGTGTGGCGCATATGTATTCAGTGCCCCTTTGCACCAATATTTATGTGTTCGAATAGGTAATGAAAACGGATTTTAGTTATCTACAAACCTTTTTACACAGCTGAACAAAACATATTTGAACACATAAATATTGGTACATGAGAGCGCCAATATATATGCGCACACAAAACAATGAGAATTCGAAGAGAAAAGAAAAAAAAAGATAAGGAGCGCAAAAAAAGAGAACAATAACGAAGAGATTGGTGTGAGGTAGTGTGGTAGAGAAATGAGGGAACGGAAAGGTACAATCGGAAGAAATCTTTCAGGTAAGGGAGACAACCACTTTTTATGAAGAAAGTAAAAGAAGGTTACAGCAGGATCGCCACTGGCTTCTGTTCTGAGCCATATCTGATAACGTCTCTAGCCACTGTGTAGCACCATCTCTCGGACCCCAGCCAGGGAGTCGTGAAGGATCGACAGAAGCCAGTCCTTTGCAGCTTTCTTTCATGCCACGACACCATGTCATGCACTGACCACCTCTCCGCTTCTTCCAACCAGTCCCAGAGTCGGCAAATAATGCACAGCGTGGAATTCTCTGGGACGACATTCGGAGAACATGTGCAAGTCACCGAAGTCGATGTTTCAAGATGGTGACGCCGATTGCATTATCATCTCTGTGCCCGAACACACGATGCCGAACCTCTGCATTACTGACATGATGTTGCCACTGGATGTCAGCAATCCTTCGGAGACAGCGATGATCGAACACAGAGAGTCGTCTAACGTCCTCAACTCGGAGAGACCAGGTTTCACAAGCATAGAGCAAGACTGCTCTCACCGACGCGTTGTAGATCCGACCTTTTACATCCAGACTAACATCACGAAGGCGCCAAAGATGGCCCAGATCGGCATAAGCCTCTCCGGCTTTCACTACACGTGAATTGATCTCATCATTCACGTCACCACCAGCAATTATGCAGCTACCTAGATACGCGAACTTCTCGATTATTTCTATCTGCTCACCATCCAGGGTGAGTACAGGATTGGAATCCTGCCAGTCTTGTAGAAGTACTTTGCACTTCGAAGGTGCAAAGCACATACCATACCTACGGACACTGATTGCCAACTGATTAAGTGCGGACTGCATGCATGGTAGCTAGCCTAGAAGCTAGCTCGGTTCGATACTTACTAGCAACAGAAGATGCAGCCAGCTTGCTAACATCAATCCGTTGTTGGCGGTCACTTCGTTGTCCACTGAAAAGTAAGTTGAGATTGGCGCCACACAAAGCATTCGATTTGTGTGAGGACTGGGATACTATCTGGACTCACAAACTGAAGCAGGTGGTTTTCTTGGGGGACCACACCCAGGGCCTAAAGGTCTAATCCACAAGTTAGTGGAGTAACGTAAGGAGATGCAGTCTCATGGTAGCCAGTGGCCAACAATTGGTTCATACGCCATTTGTTCCTCAAGGATCATGGACCGACCGAAGCTGCTACCTTGACTCGGTGGTCGGGCTTGCCTATCATGATGACCCAACCGAGCTATATTGACTGGAACATATGTTCCTGTAGGTTCTACCATGCCAGGCAGGTCGGTTGAAAAGCGGTAAGACTATAAGCAACAAACCCAAGGTCCGAAGGCGAAGTCGTACTGCTGACTGTACAGAGGGGTGACAGCAGTAAGGTGTTTCCTTCAGACTACCAGCATGACAGCGATGCTGCCTTCTCACAAGGAGGGGTGGTGTTAGAAAAGATCGACCCTAAAAACGCACACCTCGCCTTATCCCACGGATATCCGTCTCCGGCGGTAGGGTCTCAACAAGTACGGAGCTAACACAAAAATTACCCATAAAAAGGTCGTGTGTGACCGACCTCAAGTAGTTGTCCCTTGGGCACCGCGGTCACAGTCCCAGGTCACTGAGACCACCTCTAATCCAATTTCCTTTTCAGGTACCTCCAGAAGAACCCTTCCACGGTGTGGGCAACCGGGAAGTGATAACCGCCCTCATACCTCTAACAGCACTCAAGACCACTCTGTTCATAATCAACCTCCCACTTCAATTCCTATTATTCCTCCTACATCGACTTTCAACTCTAAACTTCCTTTTTCGGCTTCCCCCTCAAGTGTCACCATAGCCAACGATTCTAGTGCTCCTAACACTGTCCCAGGTCTACTGAAACCTCGCTCCAAACTACACATTGGAGCCTTCAACGTACGCACCCTATGTCAAATCGGTCAAGAGGCTTCCTTGGCTAGAACTCTAGAATCTCGTACCATTGATGTATGCTGTGTCTCTGAGACACGCATACAGGATCCCAGTGTGGTCATTCACTTGACCTCACCTCGGCAAAACGGAGAGTCGACGATATACACCCTCCGTGTATATAGTGACCCGACGGCCAGCTCTCGTGGACTGGCAGGTGTAGGCATAGCACTAAGCATGAGGGCCGAACAAGCACTGCTGGAGTGGATCCCCGTCAACAGTCGTTTATGTGCTGTTCGGCTAAACGGCTCCGTAAGAACTCGGAAGGATAGGGACACACGTAGTTGCCTTTTTGTCGTTTCTGCCTACGCTCCCACTGACTGCAGCTCAGATGAAGTGAAAGATGAATTTTACAGAAAGCTGTCCGAACTTCTGCAGAAAGCTAAACGTTCAGACATAGTACACATAGGGGGCGACTTTAATGCCCAGATAGGTAGTTTAAACCAAACAGAAAGGCATTTAGGTAGATATTTTAGTATTCCGACACAGCGAACAGATAATGGTGATCGTCTGTTGCAACTGTGCTCAGACAATCGTTTATTTTTAGCAAACTCAAATTTTAAGCATAAGGAGAGACATCGTCTAACATGGCGACCCCCTACACCAAACCAACGATGGACTCAAATAGACCATATTGCCATCAGTCATCGTTGGAGAGGGTCGGTAGAAGATTGTCTTTCATTCTGGAGTACCTGCTTGGACTCCGACCACGCCCTAATACGGACACGCATCTGCTTGCGCCTCACTGGACGCAAAAAAGCCACAGAAAAAGACCCATTATAACGAAGTTGAGTAGCGGAAAACCAAAAGTAGGTTCCAGGAACAACTGAGGTCACACTTAGGTAGTTCTGAAGACGAGGCTGATCCAGATGTTGCTTGGAAAGCTATACAAACAGCTGTGGAAACAGCAGTGACATCTATTAGTGAATTAAGCCACAGAGTTACAAAGAACCAGTGGATTTCTTCAAGGTCTATCACACTGATGGATTCTCGTAAACTCGTCCCATCAGGTTCTGAACACGATGAAGAGCGAAAGCAAATCAGATCTAGGCTAACCAAAAGTCTAAGGAACGACCGTGAGCAGTGGTGGGCAACGAAAGCAAAAGAGATGGAAAAGGCGGTGGCTATAAGGAACACAAGACAACTCTACAGACTAATAAAAGAAACTGGAATTAATAAGTCAAGTGTAAGTCAGACTATTTCGGAAAACGACGACACCCTCGTCTGCTCTCAGTCCAGACGTTTAGAACGATGGGCGGAACATTTCAGAGAACAGATCAACTGGCCTTCAGCTACTCTACAACTACCCTCCATTCCCAGACAGTGTGAATGGGAGCACATGCTTAGATTCAGATCATGCTCTAGTACGAGCGCGTATCTGTCTGCGTCTTACTGGACGTAGGAAAGACGCTGCAAGTAAACCTCTTAGGGGCCTACTTAATGATAGTCAAGCTAAGAGTATATTTCAGGAACAACTAGGAAAACAGTTAGGCAGCCATTTATGTGATGCCCACCCCGAGGAAGCATGGAATGATATCCGAAAAGCTGTGGAAACATCAGTGATATCTGCTAGTACGGTAAACCGTAGGGTTAGGGAGCAACACTGGATCTCAGCAGCATCTATTGCACTGATAGATGCTCGGAAACTCATTCCACCTGGCTCTGAACATAATGAGGAGCGGAGTCAGATTAGGCGCAAGCTGACAAGAAGTCTACGCAATGGCCGTGAACAGTGGTGGGTAGCGAAAGCAAGAGAGGTGGAAAAGGCAGCGGCAATAGGTAATAGCAGACAATTGTTCAGACTTGTTAAGGAAACCGGAATTAGGAACCCGACTGTTAGCGAAACACTCTCAGAGAAAGATGGACATATTATACATTCTCAATCCAGGAGATTGGATCGATGGACAGAACACTTCAGGGATCAGTTCAACTGGCCTTCATCCACACTTCGGTTTCCCACGATCTCCGGTCAACCTGAATGGCAAGTTAATGCAGGTCCTCCGTCTCTTTACGAAGTTGAAAAAGCCATAGGAAATCTGAAACGAGGGAGAGCAGCAGGCCCTGACAAGTTTACTCCTGAGATTTTTAAGGACGGTGGTCCAGTATTAGCAGCGAGATTAACCGAGGTCTTAGGTAGAATCTGGGAGCTGAACGTAATCCCATCTGACTGGTTTCAATCACTGATTGTGCCAGTCTATAAGAAAGGACAAAAGTCCTCTTGTGACAATCACAGAGGAATCAGTTTGACAAATATAGTGTCTAAAATATTAGCTTCAATAATACTTCGACGTCTAACTAAAGCTCGTGAAGAACAGACTAGAGAAAATCAGGCTGGTTTTCGACCTGGACGTGGTTGTATAGATCAGATATTCACACTACTACGTCAGGTTCTAGAACACAGACACACATTCAGACGCCCCACAATGGTAGTATTTCTCGACCTTAAGGCGGCATTCGACTCTGTTGATCGTGAGGTTCTATGGAAGTGTTTGTCACTGAAAGGAGTACCAAAGAAGTACATTAACCTTATAAAGGCTCTCTACTCGAACACAGCTAGTCGAGTGAGAGCTTATGGCGAACTGTCATCAGAATTGATTACCTCAAGTGGTGTTCGTCAGGTCCGTCCACTCTCTTCATTCTTGTTCAACTTTGTCGTCGACATACTTTTAGAGATAACACTTTCCTCGTCTGGATTTCCAGGGGTTGAACTTCTACCGGGAGGTTCACTTGTTAACTTGGAATATGCATATGACATAGTTTTATTTGGTGAAGACGCTGACAAAATGCAGAGTCTTCTGACCACTCTAAGCAACAATGCAATCATGTTCGGGATGAGATTCTCCCCCTCGAAATGCAAAATGTTGCTTCAGGATTTGATTGCGTTGACACCCGAACTAATGATAGGGAGTAAAGTAGTTGAGCGTGTTGACCTCCCCACTTATCTTGGAAGTCTCATCAGCCCTTGTGGTCTGGTGTGTGACGAAATCTCAGCACGGATACAGAAGGCTCGACTAGCTTTTGCCAACTTGCGTCATTTATGGCGTAGGCGAGATATCCGTCTATCAACCAAAGGACGAGTTTACTGCGCAGCAGTTCGTCCCGTCCTAATTTCTGGCAGTGAAACATGGCCGATAAGAGTAGAGGATATTCGTAGGTTACTAGTATTCGATCATAGGTGTCTTCGAAACATTGCTCGTATATCGTGGGACCATCGAGTAAGTAACACAGCTGTTAGGAAACGGGTACTAGGTAAGGATGTCAAATCAATTGACGAAGTAGTGAATCTTCATCAGTTGAGATGGCCGGAACACTTGTTACGTGTGCCGAACGACCGACTGCCTCGACGTGCGATGTTCAGTGGTATAGGAGTAGGTTGGAAGAAAGCTAGGGGCGGCCAGACCATAACATGGTACAAATCCATGAAGTCACTGACAAGTGGACTGAGTCATGTTGGTAGGTGTAGACTACCTGGTAGGGATCCGTGAGATGATAGCAGCTGATGATTAGAGACCTTGAATGACATGGCTCAAAGTCGTTTGCAATGGCTTAGGTGCATCCACTCTTTGTTTTCTGTCAAATTCTAATCTTCTTAATTCTTAATGTCCCTCTTTTTTCTCTTTCCGAATTTCTGTTTTCTATATCTGTACTAATGTGGTGTGGCAACTTGAACTGATAGACGTACGTACGAAGTTCCACGTTGTTGGTGACTGACTGAGTTTTCCGGTTATGTCATATTTTGATATCGGTTCATTCATGGGTGACATTATTTATTCGATATGGGAAGCAGGTTTCATTGGACTATATTGTGTCGTTGCTCATCGTCTATTGATTACTGTTGCACTCACCATTTTAACAACACAAATCGTGCTCATCACAAATCCTGAAAACTCATTCACTATAACAATAAGGTAAACTGTTTGCCGTCTTTCAGCTTTGATCAAATAAGGATGTCAAGTGGTATCGATTATCAGTCCCAAAAAGTGTTCCTATAAGCAGAAAATTGCTATTATGCATTTTATGTAAATTTGATATATGCAATACTTTCGAATATTCTTTTGTTTCAGGAATATAAAAAGATCTTATATTTCTTTCCTAACGAAAAATCACTTGATGATAAGCTGAATTCTATTGGATTATCTGAAGCTATTGCAACTTTTACAAAGTAAAGTTACATAAATAAATATGTCCATATACTATCGTGTTTATCGTCTAAACATACATTTTATAGTTCTTTCAATTCACCATGTACATCAATACGTACGAAAAATACGAAAAGACTTTTCAAAAGTTTAACGCCCAGTATACAAATTGTAATTGTAAGACGTACATTCAGTTTTATAAAAATTGCACTTTTTTAGGTTATTTCAGTACCGTCTATTGTGAGTTCAGCAAATGATAATCTAGTTGAAAATGATTATTTACACAATGAAATTATTGATTCAGTTTTGTCTATTGCCTGTGAAACTTTTGAAGTGAGCAAAATTAATATCCTTTTTCTGTGAAAAATGTATCTTTTATCCACATTTTTTAAAATTATTTGTTAGAACTTATGATTCTTCAGTTCCTTTTATGTTTTATTTTTTTCAAAGCTGTTCCATGGAAAGGTTACTGAGATCGTTAAAACTTATGATTATGAAATATTAAAGGCTAAATTAGAGCACTTCTTTTCTCGAGTAAGTGTTTGGTTTATGGAACATTCTAATAAACCGAAAAATTACAAATTATTGTTCACTTTTTGTAGTATTTACGTACTATGCTTTTCGAATACTGTGATATATTGGATTGTTTCAACGGAATTCAATTTATATCGATTGAACCAACTGATTTTGGTCGTGTTCATGGCCTTCTTAACAGGATTGGATATAGTTTTAATTGTACCGAACATTCAGCGTTTTTCTTTGAAGGCAGACTTATATAGTGAGTTGTTTGAATTACTAGTCGAAAATTCCTTTTAACGCACATTGTTTTCATAATTCATAACATTTGATTTGTATCATTATGGTAGTCGGAATCGTTGTAACCCTAAGTTCATGGTCTGATGCAAATCAGTACTCCTGTTCTGCATCGACTAAACAAGAAACATCGCTAATAACAGTATAGAAGTTTTATTTCATCTATCCCGTACTTTCACAGATGGTCATGCAAACACATATACTAGTCAGTATTTCGTTTCACTAGCTCAAATATTTGATGTTTCTGTTGTAAATTAGTAAACTTCCTATTATTCCTCCTACATCGACTTTCAACTCTAAACTTCCTTTTTCGGCTTCCCCCTCAAGTGTCACCATAGCCAACGATTCTAGTGCTCCTAACACTGTCCCAGGTCTACTGAAACCTCGCTCCAAACTACACATTGGAGCCTTCAACGTACGCACCCTATGTCAAATCGGTCAAGAGGCTTCCTTGGCTAGAACTCTAGAATCTCGTACCATTGATGTATGCTGTGTCTCTGAGACACGCATACAGGATCCCAGTGTGGTCATTCACTTGACCTCACCTCGGCAAAACGGAGAGTCGACGATATACACCCTCCGTGTATATAGTGACCCGACGGCCAGCTCTCGTGGACTGGCAGGTGTAGGCATAGCACTAAGCATGAGGGCCGAACAAGCACTGCTGGAGTGGATCCCCGTCAACAGTCGTTTATGTGCTGTTCGGCTAAACGGCTCCGTAAGAACTCGGAAGGATAGGGACACACGTAGTTGCCTTTTTGTCGTTTCTGCCTACGCTCCCACTGACTGCAGCTCAGATGAAGTGAAAGATGAATTTTACAGAAAGCTGTCCGAACTTCTGCAGAAAGCTAAACGTTCAGACATAGTACACATAGGGGGCGACTTTAATGCCCAGATAGGTAGTTTAAACCAAACAGAAAGGCATTTAGGTAGATATTTTAGTATTCCGACACAGCGAACAGATAATGGTGATCGTCTGTTGCAACTGTGCTCAGACAATCGTTTATTTTTAGCAAACTCAAATTTTAAGCATAAGGAGAGACATCGTCTAACATGGCGACCCCCTACACCAAACCAACGATGGACTCAAATAGACCATATTGCCATCAGTCATCGTTGGAGAGGGTCGGTAGAAGATTGTCTTTCATTCTGGAGTACCTGCTTGGACTCCGACCACGCCCTAATACGGACACGCATCTGCTTGCGCCTCAGCATGGAGGTAATGTTATGGTGGGATGCCCATGTTAGTATTGCTTGATGTACTTGATGAGATAAATGTGATCGTCAGACCACCTCTTGTTCTTTTAAAGCTCGGTAAGAATAATCCTAGGCGTTGAAGTCTGTCTTCGTAAGATTCATACCTTACCCCCATCACACACTTATTTGCTCGTCTCTGTACTCGGTCTAAGAGACTTATGTCTTTTTTGAAGAGATGGGGCGCAACGACATTGCTGACTTCAAGGTTGGGCGTTGTGTACCTTTTGATAAGAGTTAGGAACAATTCTGGAGTGACTGCGCTAAGTTGACTTCTCATGGAATGGAAAGTTTCGTTTTCCGTGGCTGCATCATCCATGTTGTTTAAACTGATCTCTAAGTCCCCGCGTTTACAAACACGAGATCATGCTCTGGGAGACAATCAGGAGCGAAGTTCCGTAAAGTTCTTAGGTGCTCAGCGTAAAATGATGGGATAATATTCATAGTATGAAGACTCGACAAATTACGTTCAAATTCATTGTCTGCCTCCCGCTTCTCTATTGTTGTAATATTATTTGAAAGCTCAAATGAATACTTTTCAATTTTTGTGAACCCTATCATCTTTTCACCGTTTCGATAACTTGACGCTTTGAGCTATTACGTAAAGTTCATTATTTAAGGTCAGTTAGAGGAGTGAACATATAATGGTTCTCTATAGTGCTTCCAATATCGTTACCCTTCAGCTCGTGTGTATCTCATTCATCTTGGTTTTAAAACTTTTTCATCTTCGTAAAGAGACGGAGGACCTGCATTAACTTGCCATTCAGGTTGACCGGAGATCGTGGGAAACCGAAGTGTGGATGAAGGCCAGTTGAACTGATCCCTGAAGTGTTCTGTCCATCGATCCAATCTCCTGGATTGAGAATGTATAATATGTCCATCTTTCTCTGAGAGTGTTTCGCTAACAGTCGGGTTCCTAATTCCGGTTTCCTTAACAAGTCTGAACAATTGTCTGCTATTACCTATTGCCGCTGCCTTTTCCACCTCTCTTGCTTTCGCTACCCACCACTGTTCACGGCCATTGCGTAGACTTCTTGTCAGCTTGCGCCTAATCTGACTCCGCTCCTCATTATGTTCAGAGCCAGGTGGAATGAGTTTCCGAGCATCTATCAGTGCAATAGATGCTGCTGAGATCCAGTGTTGCTCCCTAACCCTACGGTTTACCGTACTAGCAGATATCACTGATGTTTCCACAGCTTTTCGGATATCATTCCATGCTTCCTCGGGGTGGGCATCACATAAATGGCTGCCTAACTGTTTTCCTAGTTGTTCCTGAAATATACTCTTAGCTTGACTATCATTAAGTAGGCCCCTAAGAGGTTTACTTGCAGCGTCTTTCCTACGTCCAGTAAGACGCAGACAGATACGCGCTCGTACTAGAGCATGATCTGAAACTAGGCATGTGCTCCAGAATGAGCGACAGTCTTCTATCGAGCCCCTTCATCGGTGGCTGATAGCGATGTGATCTATTTGGGTCCAACGTTGGAACGAATTAGGGGGTCGCCATGTCAAAAGATGTTTTTCCTTATGATTAAAGTTAGTATTTGCAAGGATCAGGCGGTTATCTGAGCATAGCTGCAACAGACGGTCGCCATTATCTGTTCTTTGAGCCACAACACCATAAGATCCACCTAGGTGTCTTTCCCTATCGCTTAGTTTACCTAATTGAGCATTAAAGTCACCGGCCACTATTACTACATGCGAGCGCCTAGCTTTTCGGAGAAGATGGGAAAGCTTTCTGTAAAACTCATCTTTTACATCATATGAGCTGCAGTCAGTGGGAGAATAGGCAGAGACGACGAAGAGGCAACGACGAGTGTCCCTATCTTTCCGAGTTCTTACTGTTCCGTTTAGTCGGACAGCGCACAAACGACTGTCTACTGGGATCCACTCTAAGAGAGCTAGTTCTGCCCTAGGACTCAATGCTATACCTACGCCGGCGAGTTGACGAGAAGCAGCATCTGGGCTTCCAGATACACGAAGTGTGAATCGAGTCGGTTCTTTATTTTGGCATGGTGAGGTCAAATGAATGACGCTACTCGGATCCTGTATGCGCGTTTCGGATGGCACGGGATTCTAAAGTCCTAGCTAAGGAAGCCTGCTGTCCTATTTGGCTTAGTGTTCGGACGTTAAAAGCTCCTACGTGTAGTTTAGAGCGTGGTCTCAGGAGACCAGGAATGACGTTCCACGTACTCGAATCGTTTGCCCTAGCGGTGCGAGGTGATAAATAGACGTAAGGAGGGTTAGTCATGGAGATAAGAGAGGAATTAGGAGGTGTAGGAAGGATTGGAATGTGACCAACTTGGTCTCGTGTGCTGTTACGGGTATGAGGGCTGATGCCACTTCACGGCTGCCTACGCCGTGGAAGGGCATTTCTTGAGGAACGTGTTAGCTCCGTTCTTCAAAGGGCCTTACCGCCTGAGACGGAAATCCGTGAGGTAAGGTGAGGTGTGACATTTTTAGGATCGACCTTTTCTAACCCCACCCCTCCTTGTGGGAAGGCAGCATCGCTGTCAGGCTGGTAGTCTGAAGGAAACACCTTACTGCTGTCACACCCCTCTACAGTCAGCTGTACGACTTCGCCCTCAGACCTTGAGTTGCTGCTTTTAGTCTCACCGTTCACCAATCGACCTGCCTGGCATGGTAGAACCTACAGGAACATATGTTCCAGCCAATATAGCTCGGTTGGGTTATCACGATAGGCAAGCCCGACCACCGAGTCAAGGTAGCAGCTTCGGTTGGGGAACACCGATTACCACGACGTGCAATGCTAACCGGTGTTGGAGATGGTTGGAAGAGAATTAGGGGCGGCCAAACCAAAACGTGGCATCAGTGCTTGAAGTCACTAACTTCTAGTCTGAGCTATGTTGGTAGATGCAGACTACTTGGTTGGGGTCCACGTGACTATCGTAACCAATGGTTGGAGAGTCTGGGTGACATGGCTCAGAATCGGTCACAATGGCGTCGGTGTATACACTCTCTGTCTTCTCTTAAACTAACAGATTAAAATTGCTTCATATCTTTCTTTCTACGAACTAATTCTTTCTTCCTGTACTATATCCTTATTGCACTATTTCTTTTATATATTACCACCTCTGAATTAACTACTTTATGAATCCGGTGTCCATCTTGTTGTGTTAATGAGGTATGGCAACTTGGACCGATGCATATATGTGCCTGGTCCTACGTTGTAGCTGACTGACTGAAATCAGTAAACTTGTATGGAGGAATCTTTATATGTTTTCAACACTCAACTTTCAAGTTGTTCAGAATCGAGTGCGCAAAATTGATACTCGAATTTGTTTCCTAATTTTGACTGTATGTTTTCGATCTGACGTTCCCTTGTAAATGTCTGTTACAGAATTTCCATAGGCATATCGTATCGTTTTTACAGAAAAAAAAACTCATTACTGGCTTCAGCTTGAAATTTATACAATCCAACTTTAGTTCAAAAGGTGTTTACATGGTTTTCTATCTGCTGACTTGTGCCTTGTTAGTTATCACGTGACTTATTTGTTAATCAGAACACGACTTGTGCAATCTTAGCACTGTACCAAGCCAATGACGCGTTGACCAGTGCGAGCAGTCTACAGTCCTTATTGATCCTAGCGTAGCCCTGTCAGTTGAGTCCAGAATACCAATATCAGCTTGGACTGTATGAATAATATTTCCCAGACATACTTGGTTTATATACAAGCAAACCAGACTACGTCATAAAACAAAAAATAATTATACAGTATCAAGCCTAAATGTGGCTGTGAGAGACTGTCACTAATAAACTGGGAATAACATAAGGATTGTAAACCATATATTAGTAGTCAATAGGTCTAATGAAAGCTTATGATAAAAGGAATATAAATATATATAATCCAGTTACTTAACAGTTATACAATAAGTATATACATATTATAACAGTTCATAAATGGTTCCCGAAAGTTACCCATAATTTAACCTTCGTTGTTCTGACAAAAAAGTTCATTTATTTAGATCCAATAACCAAGGTTATTTTTTAAATACCATTTTCTGTTAACCGTCTGTTTGCATACTTACACCTGTTAGCCTTCGCGGAGGAGCATAGGCAGCCCAACCATATGGCTGCTTGTGGTTAACTCAAAGACATGAACATTATCAAGGTAACTTATAGCAAGTTTGCTTGATATAAATAGAACGAGTTCAACAAGAGCTAATTCATTCATCAAGTATAGGTATATGTACTCGGTTTTGCGACACTGTGATATAACCCGGTTGCCGAACCTGAAATAGGTAAAACAGGTTCTCAATTTGAGGCTTACTGATTAGAAGCCACTATGCTACAACTTCACAGAGAATTCGAAAGCTAAGCAAAAATCCCGATTCTTAAATATTGATACTTATAAATTATTTATATTTATGTCTGGTCACATAGTATCAGCGTTGATGTTGATATTTTGTTTCACTTTGACTAATGCCTTGTCTTGCTTAATCACCTTAATAAGTGGGTTTTATTTCCTCCTAATGAACTATTTAATACAAATCCTTTCTTTTCCTGTCTCTCCAATTGTTTTGTTTTAGTTCTACTTTGGATCTAACCTATGTTCGTCATATTTATCACTATTTAAATTCATTTCTATTTATTGAGCAACCAGATTTAACGCATGCGACTACTATGAAAACAAAATCTAAACATTTAGGAAGGTAATGATATTCTTAGTTGTATAAATGATGTATTGAATATATTAACGTTTGATGATACATAAATGCTGTATTTAGAAGCCTGGTTTTCAATCAATGCAATGTTTAAGAGCTTTATTAAATCACTTTAAACATTGATTTTTACTAACATATTTTCATGGAGAACTAATTTTAAAGGTTAAAAACATATTTGAGACGTCGGTATTTTCGAAAAGCTGGTTACAGAAACCTTAAAATATCTCTTAAGGATTGTGTGATTTTTATTATTCCTTTTTACTTCAGTAACTTCAATAATGGTGTGGAATGGAACCGAGGAAATCACTGAGTTGTAAAGTTTACGGTTGATAAATATTTTTCAAATACCCTATTAACATTATGATCAAGGGAATTTGAAATTTCGTATCCTTATTACGGACTATTTCACTATTAATGTGGCAAAATGTTATGTTCTTATGGCCCGTCAATTATCACGTGACAAGGTCACCAATCGGGACACCAACTTATATGACCTTGGCCCTGTGCCAACCCAATGACGGGTTAACCAGCACGAGCAGCCTAGACTCAACTGAGTCCTTATTGGTTCTTCCTACCTAACCGTGCCCGCTGATTCCAGAACACAATCATAGCTTCCACTGTATAAATCATGTATTTCAGACATAGGCAGTTTATTTACAAGCAAACCATACCTCATCATACCGTAAAATAGAAAATAACAATTTTACCGGATCAGGCCGAAAGTGGCTGTGAGTGTGAATGTAAATTTTAAATTGAGAATAACTTAAGAATGGTAAATTGTATAACAGTAGTCAATGAGTTAAATGAAAGCTTATGATAAAAGAAATATAAATATATATATAATCTAGTTACTTATTAATTGCCTGACTAGAATGTGTGTAATAGCATTCCATAAATAATTCCTAAAAGTTACCATTCATTTATTCTTCGTTCGGATATAACACAAGCCATATTCAGTAATAATCAAGAACTACGATGTATGATAGCGGTTACTATCCAACGAATGACCAGTCTATTCAGTCCAACTATTTAGAAAACTAGTCAGCACGAATAGCTCAATATTAGTGTACCTGACTATCACGCTGTGACATTGGTTCCATTCTGTAGATGAGAATCAATTCCCTTTTAGATGCAGATGACATGATCTAATGAACACAAAACTGGATTCAAGGCTTCTTGTTAGTTTTTCTCCATTTATTTGACACCAACAAGTTACACCATGTAATAACTTTCCAGTCAATAATCTTTCACGTTCCTAATGGTTTATTATTCAGATATCTTGTTGGTCCAAAGGACTTATCTGATTTGTCGCTGCAAATTAAATGTCCATTAATTTGTACCCCAGGTTCCCACTTACCCAATTGTCAATTAATCACCTATCAGGCTTTAAGAGCTATTCTTTGTTTACTTATTAAAGGTAAGTAAATTAGCTTTCATGTCTTTTAATCAATGTTTATTTTTGTGGTTTACTTCAAGAATTCATACTGCAAAAATTAGTAACTAGGGTTTCAAGTATTTCCCCAAAAGAAATAGAAATACATAACTTTTCGTTACTGTCTGTGTTCAACTATCATTAGTATTCACACATTAGATGTGACTCACAGTTTAGCCAAACTCTTTGTGTTTACTAAACAAGCTACTGTTTAGTTTTTAGAGAGAATTAACTAGAGTAGTTCAAATTAGTCTCATTGTGGTTAAGTGATTATTTATTCTAATCAGTAAATCACTAATTCATCATTAAGATCAAATCTCATTGGTTATATGTTATGTTAATAGCTGACGAATGTGACAGAGGTATCATTTTTTTAAACATGTAACAATTAACATGTAATTAAAATAGTCCAAACAGACTATTGTACTCGGATACTGATTATTAGACTGTAGATTGAATTTTGTAATCTTTATTTATTCACCTTGGTATAATATTGTTGTTCAGATACTTAACTTCCACAAAAATCATCACATCGAGCAAGATTTATGGAGCCAGAAAGCATCCCACTATATTTCGCACAGTAAGTGTAAGCCCACTGGTTCTGGTTTACAATTTTGAGTTCATCAATAATAATAATAATAATAATAATAATAATAATAATAATAATAATAATAATAATAATAGTAGTAGTAGTAGTAGTAGTAGTAGTAATAGTAATAGTAATAGTAATAATAATAATAATAGTAATAATAATAATAAATAATAATAATAATAATCAGTATTTTTACATAGGGTTTAGCAAAAGCAGTTTTCCCAGTTATCTGTTTCGATCCTTCATGTATCGCGGGAGATTAATTTTTTCATGTGTTTATATCAAATCTGACTTTTTTAGGTATCGTGAAGTGTATGCATTAGTTGTTTGCAATTATATGTGATTGAAGTACTATAATTTAATCATGTTTTGTGGGCAATTGTTTCTATTTTCTTAGTTCAGTCAGAACTTTTAATGTGAAACAATAAGCGACGAAGAAATTCAGTCATACTTGCAGTTTGTAAAATTAATTTTATCAGTATTCGTACTTAAAATTCTGCTTCCCACTACCGAACCATATAAGCTGTAAAGTATTCGTTCTATTCAACTTCAAAATTGTTTCAATATTATATATTTCTTTTATATTCTATTATTATACAGAAATTTAGTTTAAAATCGTAGTCATTGAAATTCTTTGTTTACAAGATCACATAACCCTAATTATATAGACTGTATAAATATTAAGGATATTAGTACTCAAACAAATTATATTATGACTTCATAAAATAATGAGTTATAACATGTCCTTATCACTCAACATGGATTACTTCATTTTGAATTACAGAAAAATTAAATAATTACACCATTATTCTCCACAACTAAACTTTTTCCTCATTATCCATTTTGAAATGAAAAAAAACTCTGGAGAGGCTTTGTATCTGCATGTTATAACGCTCGGTTTTACTTCGTCTGATGTTATAACAGTTGGGTTTTCACGTTTGCACGTATGGGACGTTAATTTACCTTAAACGAATATCTACACTAGATTCCCTCCCAGTGTCTATTCCACAGGTATTCAACACAACTCAGATCAAGAACACGTGATTAGCCTGACCACAACGTAAATATATTTCCACATCAAAACCCGACACAATCCAACGACAATGAACAATCAATAATAACTGTTATAAGGTTAAGGGAATATATGACTCATCTGACACCTGTCGGACTATCTACATGTCTGACTAAGCAGACAACCAATCATTATCATTCTCGCCCTCACATCACTATATTTTTATCTTTTGATCTCAAAAATGATTTACTTTAACAGTAACTAAAATGAATATCAGCGATCTTAGAAACTAGTGCTTGAAATGGCTTGTAATCATATTTATATTAGTGACCAGACCAATCCTACTAAGCGATTTCAGAATTAAGAGGATTTCATTATTTCCCAAGATTAGCTATACCTGAACACAATAAATTGTTGGTCAGGTATGTAAATCTTGTAAGTTATAGTTCACTTCCTATCATTAGATGATATCATTTCAATAAACATTGGAAATCAGGATGTCGACTGGTCGACTGCTTACTAGTAAGTGCGTGTAGCATCCAACACACTTGAATGCAACATCTTTAAGCTCATGAGTTTCGGCCAAAACAATTCTTTCGACTTTATATAACCTTAACAACTGGTTTGGCAAATCAACCTTTTCTGGGTAGATATGTAAAAAAAATGACAGTATTTTCCCCAGGATTCAGGTAGGTTACGTAATTTCGCCAGGGCATATTGTATTTCGACCCTATTATCATAATTGCTCCGCAATACCAGCCAACTAAACACTAACTTTTCTTTGTTTAATCCTTAAAATCAAATTTTATATCCGTCCACCAGGCTATTTTCTTATCTATTTAATAATATACTTTGGCATTAGTAAGTCATGTTTTTAGCCTGAATCATAAGCGTTTTTCCTTAGTCACTGTACTTTTAACACTGTGAGATCAAGTTACAGGCATTATGTTTTACATTTTGAGTAACCTGTATCAATGGATTTTTCTAGTGTTAAAAATTACTTTTCACTATACTTTCACAAAGACGTCCGTTTAAATCTGAATTAAAAGAGTCAATGATTTACCATGGTAATTAACTTACCTCCCTCACAAATAACTTTTTCTCGTCTGAATTTGAGTACATTTTGTTATGAATAGTCGTCATTTGTTATATCGAAATCGTTTATTATTTACACTTGTAAAACGAGGAACCACTGCGATTCCCACCACACAAAGTATGAACACCAAGACTGATAGAAGTGAAGATCTATCAACCTCAAAACACAACGAAAACCCTTGTCGATAATACACTCATTTATATATTGGTTGTACACCAAGCTTGATTAATAATTAGGATGAAATCACATATATGAAAAATACCCAGAGCTATAACGAATCACTTGCTGCGTGTCATGCTGTGCGTAGTTTATATTAGTTTAATACAAGAATATCATATCTTGAATAAAGATGATACTCAAATAAATTAATGTTATACCGAATAGAATATCACACTGTCAAATAAAACCAATATTACTCCGAATGATTAACGCATTGATTTAAAAAGGAAAGTAATGTTGACTAAAAATCGCAATGAGCAAGAAGATGTAATTTTGCTTTCTAATCCCATCATATTACCTCCCCTTCTTTTTTTTTAACGAAATACGTAAGACTAAGTTTTCCGTAGAGAGAAAGTTCGAGTGATTGTTGTTCTTTTTCGTACTCACTGAAATCTCGGCCGATCGCGTAGTCGTATTCCAGCTTCCCGTTGGTTTTTTAGCTTCGATTCAAACAATCTATTTGACCTTCTGACTTCTATACTCGACTCCTTCGTCCAATGTATATACGACTCTCCCTCTTCCACGAAACAAGATTGGATCTTCATGTACCCACGTTACAAATAATGTGACTTTATTGATCTGAACTGTCTCAACACTATTCACACCTTCATTATATGGGAGTATTGGAGCGTGTGGGTATACATAAAGGTTGAAGGATCCTTTTGTACTATCTTGACCTTCATGGGTAGCATTATACATGATGATTTTTCCACCTTTCATACAAAAAAGTAAAATGCCATTGTTTCATTCACAATACGAATGAGCACATTTTAAATTTCGACTTATCAGTAACAATGCATGTGATTCATGTACGCTCGCTTTGTCTCCAAAGCATTTAAACAGAACACTTGTATTTGTTTCATAATCAGTAGGATCAGTAGATGACTTCATTTTACATACAGATATCGCACTTTGAGCTGACTTTGAATTATTGAAACAAGGTTTGCGTTTTTGTATGTGACATTCACTTTGTCCAAATAAACAAGATAAATATCATCTGTAGATAACTATAACGAATACTGAAATTTGATGACTGCTCATCATACAATTTTCGAAAAACACTGTGCGAATTGATCTTATTTAAAGTTTTTGGCGAGATAAAATTGGTATGCATTTTGTCTTCAATTGAGCTCAGCTTCCTGAGTTAAGCATAAACTTTTGAGCCAGTGTCTGGTTCGGCCGTTTTTATCTTAAATAAATCTTCATTCTTACCATCACAGGCATTGAGCCTTACCCCAGATTTCGAACTGTCAAACTTGGGGACTAAATTTTGATTTTCACACTGTGTGATCAACATCAATCCTGTGCATTCTAGTTTCGGGAATGCTTTGCAAACACGTGTTATATATATTGATTTATTATAGCATTTAGTAGGGATTTTACGTGGCATACATGAAGTGTGAGAAGAGCATACAACGTCAACTACAATAACATCTGGAATGTGATCAGGATGTGACTTATTTAAAAGAAATTTCTCATACTGACCAGGAGTAAATGGATTGTGAAAATAATATGAGACCATCAGAACTATAATTACATTTGAACCCATTGAGAACTTGTGCTTCATATTGACCACGATTTTCACTATAAAGGAATGTATTATAAGAACAGGATTTAATTCATTTAAAATATTTTCTTCCAGTTCCTTAAGGACTTCATTGCAAACCAATGAATCTTTAAGATAGTCGGCATTCGATATGACATCATTAGAAATTCGATCAGAAATTGATTCATTTCAAACATTTGTTGCACACTGATTTTGGATTTCACTCGACGTGACTGGATAATTAGGATGAGAGGAATCTCTGAGGCTGCTGTTACACTTGTCGGCTTCTCATGCATTTGTCGTTGTTTGTGCGATCATCCAGCTGCATCCTAACTGTTCACTGTATCCCGTGCTTCCCTTCAGATGTTGACGTCTTCATGATCCAGTCGATCACCACAAGAAAGAGAAAGGGTGGGAGTAAGCAACCTTGTCTGACACCGGTCTTTACTTCCAACAAGTCTGTCAACTATCCTCCATGCACGATTTTGCAGTGTAATCCATCATAGGAATTCTGTATGATATTGACTATCTTCTCAGGTACGCCATGCAGTCGAAGAAGCTTCCATAGTGTTGTCCTGTTCACGCTGCTAAATGCATTCTCGTAGTCAATGTAGAGTGGTGAATTCCATTCAATTGATTGTTCTACAATGATCCGTAGTGTTTCGATTTGGTTTGTACATGATCGATCCTCACGGAATCCAGCCTGTTGGTCTCGAAGTTGGTCGTCTACGGAGTCTTTCATTTTGTTTAACAATACCCTATATAAACGAACAATATTGTTTTCGATTAGATCCTCATCAGGCTTTTCTCTAATATACAGTAATATTTATATGCATATACGAAATTATTAAACCAATCAAGGTAGTTTATGAGACAATGATAACAATGAGAACGATTACATAATAAGTGAAACGTACAAATTGGTAGTGTGATAACAGGTGCATTAGTTTTGATAAGAATAATAAAGGTTCAAATCAATGTTGCATAATCGGAAATAGGTCAATGACTAGAAAAGTATAGACAGTGAGATAAAATTTATAAAATTATAAGATGACGTAATAAGGAGTGTTCAGATAATCGGACCGTGGAACGTATATTTGAGAGAAAATAAACTAAAATGGTAGGAGGGGGTGAAGAAAATTAATAAACGAAGGGAAAGTTTGAAAAAATAATAAATAAATTCACTTATTAAGGCCAATGGAGAGATAAGGGTGTTACAAATTTCTTTTGAACACAAAGACTTGGCTTGTTGGCTCGAATTCCTATAGCTTCTGCTATGTGTAAGAGACGAGATCGAACACCATAAGGAAAACTAGTGGGAATACGATAAATAACTTTGGACGACTTGTTTCTGTCTACTGTATGACCGCTATCGATCAAGTGTGATAGAACCGAGCTGCGTATTGTTTTGACGTTGCCTTTTCCTAACCCTGAGGGGAGGTGTTCACCAACTCGTTGGTTCCGTTGCCTGGTAGTGCGCCCAATATAGCTTTCTCCACAGGAGCAGCTGAATTCGTAGATACACATAGAAGTGGCATAACCAGGTAACTTATCATTCGATTGCGGAATCACCATCGGTCGGGTCGAATACGATAGACAGAGGTTGGCAGCATTAAACGTTCTCTTTACTGCTCTAGTCAATCTATCCCGTAATACATCGCTAGCTAAATCATCATTGAATTGCAGCTTCAAGAAAAGCGGTTTCTTATTAGCCGTCAGTCACTATTTACTTGTTTCGTACTCGCAAGTGTTTCTTCAGGAACCCCAGTGGATATCCCAATTCAATCAACATATTATGAATGTGCCCTAATTCCCTATCAATTGTGTCAACTGAGCATATCTTAATAGCTCTATTTGCAAGACATTTGACTAAGTTTCTCTTATAATGAAGAGGCACAAAGCTTAAAAAATTTGTGTATTGGCTTGGAGAAGTACTTTTCCTATACACACCTCTGCTGATAGAACCATTTTCTTTTCTACTTAACAAAACATCCAGGAAATTTAGTTTGTTATCTATTTCCTCTTCACATGTACATTTAATAGCAGGATGTTTGTTATTAAATCGTTCCAGTAGTTGTTCTCTAATGTTCTGATCGGCAATGATGAAAGAATCATCAACGTAACGACAGTAGAAATCCAGTTTATTGATAACCTCTAGCCACTAGGTCCCATGCTTGCGGATTTTTTTCTGGCGAAACTAGAAAACGGACTTCTCAAAGAGGTTATCTTCGTTTATTATTTTTCTTCACCCCCTCCTACCATTTTAGTTTATTTTCTCTCAAATATACGTTCCACGGTCCAATTATCTGAACACTCCTTATTACGTCATCTTATAATTTTATAAATTTTATCTCACTGTCTATACTTTTCTAGTCATTGACCTATTTCCGATTATGTAACATTGATTTGAACCTTTATTATTCTTATCAAAACTAATGCACCTGTTATCACACTACCAATTTGTACGTTTCACTTATTATGTAATCGTTCTCATTGTTATCATTGTCTCATAAACTACCTTGATTGGTTTAATAATTTCGTATATGCATATAAATATTACTGTATATTAGAGAAAAGCCTGATGAGGATCTAATCGAAAACAATATTTTTCGCTTATATGTGTTGTTCTAAATTAACAATACCTTGTTGAAAACTTTTCCTGGTATTGAGAGAAGAGTAATACCTCTGTAGTTGTCACACTTGCTGAGATCGCCTTTCTTTGGTATTTTGATCAGGAGTCCTTCTTTCCAGTCTGTTGGTACTTGTTCCTCATCCCAAATCTTATTGAAGAGAATGTGGAGTATCCTTGCAGTTGCCGCTACGTCTGCTTTCAGTGCCCGTGCTGGAATGTTGTCTGGTCCTGCTGCTTTGCCACTCTTGATTTGCCTGATGGCCATGCTTATCTCTTCAATTGTTGGTGGGCCAACATTGATTGGGAGGTCCGTGGGTGCTGCTTCGATGTTGGGTGGGTTCAGTGGGGCTAGTCGATTCAAGAGTTCTTTGAAGTGTTCTACCCACCTGCTTCGCTGTTCCTCAATGTTGGTGATTACCTCGCCTTCCTTCCTTTTCACTGGCCATTCTGATTTACGATGATTTCCAGAGAGTTTCTTTGTCGTGTCATACAATTGTCTCATGTTCCCTTCTCTTGCAGCCTATTCCGCCGTCATTGCTAGTTCTTCCACATATTTACGTTTGTCGGTTCTGATGCTCCTCTTCACTTGTTTGTTTACTTCTGTGTATTCAGCTTGTGCCTTGGCTTTCTCTGTTCTTGTTCGACTGGTATTGATTGCTGCCTTCTTGTTCCTTCTTTCTTGAATCTTATCCAGTGTATCAACAGTGATCCATTCCCTGTGATGGGGCTTATTGTGGCCCAGAACCTCATAACATGTTGAAGTGATTGCCTCTTTGATCCCCTTCCAGTTGCTCTCCATAGTAGTTCCTTCTACATTGAGTAGATCATGAAAGGCCTGGGACTTATTGCTGAGGACTATCTTGAATTCGTTGAGTTTGTCAGTATCCTGAAGAAAGGCCGTATTAAACATTTGTGATGTTGTCCGCCTCGTTATGCAGTGCTTCTTGAGTTTCAATTTCATCTTGGTGATCAGCAAGTGATGATCTGATGCTATATCAGCTCCTCTCTTGGTTCTCACATCCTCCATCGTCCTCCCGAACTTTTTGATAATGCAGATATGGTCGATTTGGTTCTGTGTAGTGTGATCTGGTGGAGTCCATGTGGTTTTGTGTATGCGTTTATGTGGGAATATGGTGCCGCCTATGACCAGTTTGTTGAAGGCACATAGGTTTGTAAATCCCTCACCATTTTCGTTCCTTTCTCCTGGAACATTTCGTCCCATGATGTCTTCATATCCGGTGTTGTCCATTCCAACCTTGGCATTCATGTCTCTCATCAGGATGGCCAAGTCCTTCGTTGGGCATTTCTCGACGATTGACTGCAGCCTACCGTAGAATTGATCTTTAACGTCATCATTGTAATCGTAGGTATTCGATGATGTTCATTGTACTGCCCTCTTTCTTTGTTTTGAAGGAGGTTTTGATGATCCTGGGTCCATGAGATTCCCATCCTATAAGTGCTTTTTGTGTTTGTTTGAATAACATTAATGCAACTCCCTGTGTATGTGGGACATTTTCTTCTTCGTGGCCGGAGTATATTGGCAGCTCTCCTGAATCTAGTCTTTGTTGTCCAACGTGTTTCACTGATTCCTCCAAACGCCTCCAGGTTGTATCTCTTCATTTCCGGTCTCCTACATTGTACGGGCATTCCATATACCTAAATTGATGGTTGCTCTGGTTGTCAGAAGGGTCATCAGCCTCGTGACTTTCGAAGGAACTCGGCTTTCACCATGAGGCTTCATAACTCTTCGAAATGAAAGCCTTCTAACTCCCAGGGCAGAGTTTAAATGGTTTGAATTATTTTTTCTGGTTAGTTTTCTACGGGATGGGGTCGTTAACCCCATGCCCAACCCTCCACATCTATGCGGGCTTGGGACCGGCGGAATTGTATCATAAATGCAATTTTAAATTACAGGATAAAACACATTTACCAAATGAGACTGACCGATTTCATCCCTGAGCATTAATTCAAACAACCAATACAAATGAAAATGTACTTTAGATTTATGAATTGCACACTCGTCAAATCTCATTGAGTTTTAAAAACTGTTTATCATAGAATGAATTGAACTATTTACTAACTATTCTAAAAGTTGTTGTTTAAAATTATGCAAATCAGGAATCTTTTATTTTATCTGTACGCATTAGTTCCTGCAGATTAATCTTATTTGGTAAGAATTACATGATTTTTATTTTTTTAAGAATAATTGAAACAGATTTTTTCCCTAAACATCAATACAATGTTGATCCACTTAACGCACAATTCAACAGAACTATCCATCGTCATTTGTTGGCTCCCTGGAAAAATGCAACATTCTAGCTATCTAATTCTAAGTATTCACCAGATTGTATAAACAAAATCGGTTTGTTATCTGAATCATTTAAGTTCGTCAGAATGATTTTACAATGTTCTCTCTATATACTCAATGTGTTTTTGCTTGGCGCTCAATATTTTTACTTTATGAAGAATTATGTGCTTCAGGTACTGATCCTATTCCGATGGAATTTTTTGTGGAATTCGATAGAATGGTTGGTCCACGTTTAACTTTGTTAGCCGAGCGTTTAGCATCAAATCAGACTTGTTCATTTATGGATGGTAGGTAAGTCAAACATAACTGTGCTTATCGTGGATGGTACAGTACATTACCCTACAGTTAAAGTGAATTTCCATCTGGTTATTTTTTTAAAACAGAAATACTTGAGAGAAATAGTTCAGTTAAAGAAGTGGACCGACGTGCCTCAAGGAGTTGTAAGGAGTCGGCAGAAACCCAGTGCATATGAGCGGGACGTTTCACATAGCCACAAGGAACGTAACCCACCATTTCCATGGTGTCAAGCAAACGCATCTACCTCTCATCCATACTTTTCCACGGGTTGATAGCTAGATTTCAATATAACTCGACTCGACAATTAGTTGTAGCAAAGGTTGCAGTGGATTTGCCTGGATCAATCCGTTTAGGACAATGAAATTTTCGACCACTGAAACGTAAGATAAGATTATCGCTAATCAAACCATACCCGACCGTTGTTTCTACCTTGAAGTTGTGGTCAGGCTTGCCTATCGTGATGAAGTAACCGAGCTATACTGGCTGGAATAACCGTTCCTCAAGGTCCCACCATGTCAGACAGGTCGGTTGAAGAGCGGTAAGACTATAAGCAACAAACCCAAGGTCCGAAGGCGAAGTCGTACTGCTGACTGTACAGAGGGGTGACAGCAGTAAGGTGTTTCCTTCAGACTACCAGCATGACAGCGATGCTGCCTTCTCACAAGGAGGGGTGGTGTTAGAAAAGATCGACCCTAAAAACGCACACCTCGCCTTATCCCACGGATATCCGTCTCCGGCGGTAGGGTCTCAACAAGTACGGAGCTAACACAAAAATTACCCATAAAAAGGTCGTGTGTGACCGACCTCAAGTAGTTGTCCCTTGGGCACCGCGGTCACAGTCCCAGGTCACTGAGACCACCTCTAATCCAATTTCCTTTTCAGGTACCTCCAGAAGAACCCTTCCACGGTGTGGGCAACCGGGAAGTGATAACCGCCCTCATACCTCTAACAGCACTCAAGACCACTGTATTCATAATCATTTATTTATTTATTTGAACACATGAATATTGGTACAAGAGAGCGCCAATATATATGCGCCACACAAAACAATGAAAATTCGAAGAGAAATAGAAAAAAAAAGATAAGGAGCGCAAAAAAAGAGAACAATAACGAAGAGATTGGTGTGAGGTAGTGTGGTAGAGAAATGAGGGAACGGAAAGGTACAATTGGAAGAAATCTTTCAGGTAAGGGAGACAACCACTTTTTATGAAGAAAGTAAAAGAAGATTACAGCAGGATCGCCACTGGCTTCTATTCTGAGCCATATCTGATAACGTCTCTAGCCACTGTGTAGCACCATCTCTCGGACCCCAGCCAGGGAGTCGTGAAGGACCGACAGAAGCCAGTCCTTTGCAGCTTTCTTTCATGCCACGACACCATGTCATGCACTGACCACCTCTCCGCTTCTTCCAACCAGTCCCAGAGTCGGCAAATAATGCACAGCGTGGAATTCTCTGGGACGACATTCGGAGAACATGTGCAAGTCACCGAAGTCGATGTTTCAAGATGGTGACGCCGATTGCATTATCATCTCTGTGCCCGAACACACGATGCCGAACCTCTGCATTACTGACATGATGTTGCCACTGGATGTCAGCAATCCTTCGGAGACAGCGATGATCGAACACAGAGAGTCGTCTAACGTCCTCAACTCGGAGAGACCAGGTTTCACAAGCATAGAGCAAGACTGCTCTCACCGACGCGTTGTAGATCCGACCTTTTACATCCAGACTAACATCACGAAGGCGCCAAAGATGGCCCAGATCGGCATAAGCCTCTCCGGCTTTCACTACACGTGAATTGATCTCATCATTCACGTCACCACCAGCAATTATGCAGCTACCTAGATACGCGAACTTCTCGATTATTTCTATCTGCTCACCATCCAGGGTGAGTACAGGATTGGAATCCTGCCAGTCTTGTAGAAGTACTTTGCACTTCGAAGGTGCAAAGCACATACCATACCTACGGACACTGATTGCCAACTGATTAAGTGCGGACTGCATGCCTTGGGTATTATCACACAGTAAGACAATATCGTCCGCATACTCAAGGTCGAGAAGTCTTTCTCCAGACAACAGATCCGCACCACCATTACTTACATTCATCAGAGCTGTTTCCACAATGTCATCGATCGCAAAGTTGAAGAGGAATGGTGAGATTGTTCAACCCTGCCTAACCCTACTGCTCGAATGGAACAATGGAGAGAGGTGGTTGTATGGCCTCACTCTGCCTGACGTGTTTGTATATAGGGCTTTTAGGATGTTAATAAACTTCTCAGGCACACCCTTCTTCAATAGACAATCCTAGAGAACAGTCCTGTTCAACGAATCGAAGGCAGCCCTGATGTCAAGAAACACTACGATTGTTGGCCTTTGATAAGTATGGCGGTGTTCTAACATTTGGCGAAGGGTGAAGATATGATCAATACATCCTCGACCAGAACGAAACCCAGCCTGCTCCTCGCGAGTCAATCTTTCTCGGGTTTTGAACAATCTACGAAGTATGACGGAAGGCAATAACCAATGCTCATCTATACTTTTCGGTGAAATGGTAGCTAGCATAGAAGCTAGCTCGGTTCGATACTTACTAGCAACAGAAGTTGCAACCAACTTGCTGACATCAATCCTTTGGTGGCGGTCACTTTGTTGGCCACTGAAAAGTAAGGTGAGATTGGCGCAGACCAGGGCATGATCAGAGTCCAGAGGGGTACTCCAGAAGGAGCGGCAGTCTTGTACACAACCACGCTAGCGGTAGCTGATCGCGATGTGATCAATCTGAGTCCAGGCTTGAGATGCAGAAGGAGGATGCCAGGTGGCACATCGGCGATGACTGTGCCGAAAGTTAGTGCTAGCCAAAAGCAGGTTGTGGTCTGTGCACAGTTGCAGTAGACGGTCCCCGTTATCTGTCTTGCGACCTACAAGTTCCCATCGGCCACCTAAACGACTCTCTTCTGTACCTAGACGCCCGACCTGAGCATTCAAGTCTCCGGCTAGTACTAAAATATCTGTCGAACGCACTTTCTGGAGCAGAACAAATAATCGGTGGTAGAATTCATCCTTGATTGCATCCGGGCTGCAATCTGTCGGAGGATAGACGGAGATGACGAAAAGACATCGTTTTTCAGGCCGATTTCTTCTCACTTTGATGGAACTCTCTAATCTAACAGCACATAACCGACTGTTGATGGGGATTCAGTTGATTAGTGCTGCCTCAGCTCTAGCGCTCAGTGCGACACCAACGCCAGCAAGACCAGACGAATATGCTACAGGGTCCCCGGGTAAGCGCACGTAAAACAAAAGCGACAGATGAAGAGCGAATTTGTAGTACTTCACCAGAGTCTTGAATACGGGTCTCGGACAGACAGCAGACATCGATATTAAGACTTTCCAAAGATATAGCCAGCCCTATCTGTTGTCCGACCTGCATAAGTGTGCGAACGTTGAAGGCAGCCAGTTTGAATGGTGCACGTGGTTTCAGAAAAACTGCTTCAGTATTCGTATTCGGTGGTAACATACAATTTTCAACCAGGCAGTGATTCGAGAACGTTTAGATAGAACTGAGTTTCCACCATAGGCGAGTTGCTGTGTAAGTCGAAAAATAAGGATACATAAAGTGGGAATAAAATCGAGTGAATAAATGACGTAGAAAAGAATAATAATAACAATAATAGAAAAGTATTTTTCATAAATATCGACATTTCATCATATTTGTGTGAGGGCTGCGATACTGCCCGGATGCCCAGACCGAAGCAGGTGGTTTTCTTAGGGGGCCACACCCGGAGCCTTCGACCTAAAGGTCTAACCCACAAGGCAGTGGGGCATCGTGAGGAGATGCAGTCCCATGGTAGCCGGTGACCAACGACTGGTTCGTACGCCATGTGCACCATTGGTTTGGGATCCGGTTAAAGAGTCGGATATTCGCTTTTCTTCCTCTCATTTTCGTAAACAACCTCCCACCACGGAAAGGCAGTGAGTAGGACTTCCCTGGCAGAGGCTATATACACGTGACCGTGTGAGAGTATTTCGAGAGGGAGGGAGGGCCACGTCCATGTGTATTTATCAACTCAACTGGATTCATTTATATAGAGCGTACAATTTGGCAAGTCTATCATCGCATAGCAGAACTCTTGGTTGAACAAGGAATAGGTAAGAATGATTAAGAGTTCTATTCTGGCTCACTTGGCGGACACTGGACATCAAGTTAACTTGAATAAAGCTTTTGAGGTCATCCACCCCATTCTATCAAATGTGCCACTGGGTTTAGGAGTTCGTCTGTTTCATATTGCTAAGGCTATCACAAATCCAGCCCTTGCATTCAAAAGTAGTTTGTACAAACACACTCCCGTACCTTGGCCATCGGTATGGTTTCTAGCTTAACTTTGATTCAACCCCTTCTTCCGAAAATATTCAAACAACTTTTTAACTTGTTCCACATTTGTATTTTTACATATTCTCAACATCCGTCTCTTGATTCTTAAATAACCACTCCAATGTTCACATTTTATCAAAATATTTTGTCATTCATTTTTATATATTGTGCAATGTAGCATTATAAACCTCTTCTAGTTACTCAATATTGTTTTATATATTGATGTAGAGTCATGATGAAAAACTAATGGACAAGAAATTTCGCTCTATTTGTTCTTTCTACTAAATATCCCAATTTTCTTGTACTCTTCTAACAACTAGTTGTGTGCTTTCATTTTTTTCCTTGGCACATACTTGGTTCCGTCTTTTAAAAGTAGTGTAATCATTCATCTAAGTAAACATTTAAGCTACCCCATCGATATTTTACCGTGATCACTAAAAATAGCATGAAACACGATAAAAAACACGTCTGCATATTTAAATCACGTTTAAAAAGTGTATATTTAAATCTACAAACTTTTTAAATGTGAGTAGATGTGTATACTTATGTGTTAACATAGTTTATCTGTGTTTGTGACAAACCATTGAGTTAAATCCGATTTAAATGTTACCACTTCAACCAGGTGAATGTTCAGAGAATTATTGGCGGCCTGCTCGAATATCTGGGCTACCTGTTCCTGCTATCTAGATATTTCAACAAATTATCTGTTTTTGTTTGTTTTAACACATCATTATATCCCTTAACCGAATAACTATTCAAGGGCGTTCATGAAAATTTGACGATCTTCTGCTGTACAAGTTACAAAAAAATACAATCAGAGACATCGTGGTGGCTGTCAATGTGCATTGAAATGGATGAAAATCATTCAAATGTCGATTCCTCAACTGCTAATATCTAACTGGCGATCACTCAGTATTTATCGTCAGGATCGACCAAGAAACAGGAAAAGAAAACTTGTTAAAATACTTTTTGCTGATAATTCTATGTTGTACCAAAAATATAATATTGAATAAAAGAATTATTAATAATAATAATAATAATATTAATAATAATAATAATAATAATAATAATAATAATAATAATCAAACAGGTATGTAGATGTCTGCGAAGAGTATTTTTGTTTGGATCATTAGTTTATCAACCTAACTTGTTATTAACCTTCAGCACCACAAAGAGAATACATTGATAAAGGGAAATTATGAAATGCAGATAGTGATGTGACAATAGTGGGGGATAGTAATAAGGATATTGTTTGAAAAATTGGTTGCAAATATATGACCAAAGACATAAAATAACGTGATCTTCACGATTCAGAATAAAATGATGGAATGAATGTGTCTATATTATCGTGACCATCTTTCAGACATATCTCGACCTAACTTGCCTTAGTTTTCACTTTCCTAGTTCTTTCTAGATGAGGTTTATAATCTCGGTGAACAAAGTAACATTGCCGCCTAAAACTACTGCTACACAAGATTTTTCCCCGTATTCATTGGATAAATAATGATGTCTTGTACCTTAAATAATCATAGTGAATAACTGTTTATAAAGCGATAATATTGTCCAATAATTTTCAGCTTTTAAATTAACAGACGTACATGATCTATGAGGTAATGAAAGAAGTAAAAAATATCTGAAATTCAACATGTTGAGAATCTCTGTCAATTACAACATCTAATTCATACTACTTTAGAAGTAGTTCGAATTTGTTTAATATGATATTTTAAGTTCCACATGAGTATTTTGTTTTGTGTAAATCATCAACACGATATGTGAATCATTGATTTATTTCGTTTAAGCATCTTCCCTTTACACCTGATGGAGAGTACAGCAGATATTAATTCACATACTCCACCAACACTTGGCAATCTTACAATCAATGAAGAAGGAGTAAGTAATGCAATCGAAGATTTGGATTATATTGATTCACCGTTATCATCTCTCTATTCAAATCGTTTCATTTATTGGAATTCATCAACTTGTTCTGTTATGACAACTTTACACTTTTACACCGGGTCTGGTAAGCGGCCGATTAAAGGGGCGAAATTAATTCTAGACGCTATGGTGAATCTACGTGAGGAATTTTCTCTGAGGTAATTATTTTCTTATTGGTAAAACAAAAACAATCATTTATTTTTAGGTTATTTAGAGCAGAATGAAGATATATATAATTATTATTATTATTACTAAAAACAATATACATTTGCAAGTTAAACTGCTTCTGTGACAACAATTAGCTCAAAATAATAATAATATATTCTGAAAATAATAATTACAGAATTGCCAGTTTACAGGAATTGTATTCTTGATATAGATATTAATATTAAATGTAGAGGACATATATGTGATATTAGATTGTTTCAAGTGTTCTAGTTCAAAAATTGTTTAGGTAGTACATTTTTCACACTTATCACAACAATGAAAGGCATCATCCAGGATCTTTTAATTTTTAGGTTGACGTCATGTTTATGCATGAACAGTGCATTTAAGGTCATTTCCTGAACCATAAAAACGGAGGCAGAGAGCACGGAATAAAAAAGGCAATGATTACCACGAGAGGTTTGTTGGGTCTATCACAATACATATGCCAAGTTATTTTATGATCTACCATTCGTGTTAGATGTTATTCAAATTAGTTAATGTTGCTAGGGTCGGTGTTAGTGTAAAGTGACCGCATGTTGGGAGGTTTACTTAGTGGGTTCAGTATTAAAAACGATTAGACGTTTAAAGTTTTTATAATCTCACTTGTGGAATAAGATACACTTACATGTCCAAGAACATTCAATGCATTTTCAGAGGAGAAGTATATATCGGTGCAGCGAACAGTGGATGGAAGTTATTTTATCACGGATAGATTTTGGTACATTATTCCAGAATCTGGATAACTTACTGGTTAAGTAATTCATATAGAGACGTGGCGAGGTCGTATTTATGGCTTACTGAGAAGTCTCAAGCCGGGACATAATATCTGTTCGGTGCTATCTAGTTACCAATCGTTTTTTTTTCAACTGAGATCAGTTCACTTCCTGCCTAATCTTGTACCAACGGTAGAACAAGTACTAAGTATTTGAACTCGGGATTTGATAGTTTTATTTTTGTTATTCAAATAGTTTTATCTGGTTACTTATTAAAGCTTGTGTGTAAATGCATTACTTATAGTATGTTTAATCTTCAAACGTTTTGACAGACCTAATTCATGGCATGAAGAAATCGCTGTTAGGCTAGATTCACACTGCTGGATTGTTTGTAGGCGATCTAATGGGCGTGAAGTATATATGGTATTCACAATTAAACAAGAAAGTTTACATAAATTAGAGGGTATGTTTTAAATTCTATATAATCATTTAGATTTTGAAACAAGTAATTTATGAAAGTGTTTATGAAGCGAAGTAAATCGTAAATGTTGAAAATCTTACATTTTCTTGTCATTTTTTAGTCAGATAGACAAGAAGCATAATCCAACTTTTCACGTGAAGTCGTTTATCCATTGAGATAACTTAATGTAGTTTTCAGAGAAAAGAAGGAATTTCTACATAAACGCTCCCCACTAAAATTGTGTTAAATTTGTTCAATAGAAATCAATAAATGATAATAATATATGTCAATACGTCATATGATTGTGTTAAATATACAAACTTAAATGTGATGATTAAAATAATTTCACATCATCATTGAATGAACGACTGTTTTAAACAGAAAGATAATAAGCCAGTTTCCAAGTCAGATTATTGTTCGAATCCGGTTGATTTAATACTTTTCTTTTAAAAAAAATACGGTTGTGTCCTCAATATTGCTCATAAATGTATTTATACGTAGTTGTTATTTCTGAAAGAAAAAAATGTGATTTTTCTGCATTTTCATTTAGTCTCTGTGTGGTTGTGAAAAATGTATGTAGATGATTCATATGTATCCTTAATTATTCACTTGGTCAAAACAGAGAGATCTAACTCTTCAGATTCCTGCGTTTCGGGGCATTTGGGCAGTGGCCTTTTTCCCGGCACTTGAACTAAAAATCGGCTGAAATTCCCTAAACTTTATTTAAGGAATTTAAATTGCGTGTGAAACATCAAAAAGCGCAATCAATAAGCTAATCAAATTGTTAAAGTATAAATTTATGCAGTGGGTTTCGGTCAACTCGAGTGATAGTACGGAGTCCGTAAATATTCTTTTTTGTTATCTTAAGGAATAACGGTTCTTGATTTTATCGACTAATGCCATTCTCATTTCTATCTATCTGTATTTCTTAAACTTTATTACATGGTTTATTATATATCTTGACTGCCGTTAATGTTCTATTAAGCACCAAATATTTGTTTAATTTTATTGATTTTTATATTACATTCCCATCGTTTTTTAAAGAAGCTATACGACATGTATATGATACAACGTTTCGGGGTTTATTCCTATTGGATTGAAGGTTATCCGATTACAACGTTCTTACTGTCTATTATGCATCGGTTCAATTATTGTTTGGAATCATCATGCGTGAATGGTGTTTTATTGCATCAAATTGACGGACACCGGCTATATGCTTGTTGTGTAAATGTTTTTTTTTGACATTTGTATCTATATAATTACTTGTATAGTATTTATTTCATCCCAACTTGTTCTCTGATTTATATATAATATGTATATGCATATAATGTCATCAAAGAAATAAATTATATTACTGGTTTCAAGAATATTGCCTTGTTTTCATTTTATCCCAAAATAATAATTCAGTCAACGGCTAGTGTTATTATTATTACTAAATGTCCCTTTGTCGTACTATTATTCAATTAATATTTTAATTACGCTGATTAATTTATCGGTACATTACCATAAGCTGAAGCCAGATAAAAATGGGTCATTCAAAACACTGTCGATGTTTATTTCAGTCTCATGACGGAACATATATGTTTTTTTTGTTTTCTGGTCTGTATTATCAGCACCTAGTTTCAGTTTAATCGGTGAAAAAAAAGAAAAACCACTTTGTGACTATACATAATGATAACTTTTGTATAACACGAATCGGATACAGTTGGAACAATAGAATCGGTTGTACGATTTTACTTACTGACTTAATTTATACACACGAAAAAAGGATAAGATGCTGTTGCTTTAATTTTGTAAGGAGTTGAATATATGTTGTATCAAAAATCTTTTATTTAAGATGGCTAAGTTATCCACTCATGGATATACTAAATTTAATCTTGGAGTGGGTGAAATTGTGATCATATTCTTAAACTCATGTACTGTTAGCACTATTCATATTTAAAACGAAATATCACACAACTAGATTATCAGTTGACATAGAGTTGTAAGAAAGTGGTAAGTTGGTTTTCAGTTGAAAATCAAAATATCTTATATTTGACATAAAAATACTTGTGAAAAGGTTAGTTGTTTGTTTTTCTACATGACTTCAGTTACTAAGTACCTTATTAAATCGAACTGAAAAGAGTAGCATTCAAATCGAGTAGTAGTAGCTAAGTTTTTAAACATCTAGCCACTGACAGTTCCATATGAAAGTGATGACTTTTTGGTAAAGTTTGTTTTAGTCAACCACTATCCTGTTCAAATAATCTGTATTTAATTCATAGTTCTTACTCTATGGACTATAAAATAATATATATAAGGCATCCCAGCTATTAGATACATATATCTGTTTGTATAAACTAACCGACTACCTAAACTTTCTAGTGTTTCAAGTTAAATTTTACAAACTGAGTCAATTATCAACACAGCACTTGTTTCGATAAAATAATTCACACGTTGATTATGTATATTGACGAAACTAGCCTAGGTACTACGACGCATTGATCGTGTGCTTAAATACATATAATGTGAAACTCCGAAATTCTGCGTATCTGAAGTTATTGAAATATATATAGAAAAGGGTTTTTTAGTGACTGCTACCACTACTTATTGTTGATTTAGTGAGGTCCTTGATTCTTTATAAAATAATCTTTCAAATGATATCTTTTTGTTCAGTATTAAAGACAAAGGGTTTGAGTTTACTGATCATTAAAATCAGTGTAAGCTTGGATTTAGAAGCATGCATATTTAATTCAGAGTTAAAGATACAGTTGACCACTACCGAGCACATTTAGATTTCGATTGCGGGTTTCCTACAAATTGTCCCCATTAAGAATTAATACTTTGATTTCTAGTTGGTTGGTCGCATATACCGATCGACAGAATCCAGTCAGTACTTGAAAACACGAGATTTGGTTGTCCATTTGTACTTTTTAGCTGTTTTGTTGTTACATTTACGAGGATTTAGTAATTTGCGACTTTTTTATAGACTTCTGGAAAGCGAACGTACTTAACATTTTTTTAAAAATACTTCGAATTAGTTTTCCCACTCTTTAATGACTTTGGGATCGGATTTTTCGACATCTTAGTGAAAGGTTTTCTATCCATCAAATGAATCAAGCTAAGAGGTAGGTTCATCTATGAGACCGGATGGTGATCGTGTCGTACTGTAAACTTCAAAGTTAGAAAATACGGATTTTTCAAGGTCCCAACTTATTAGTTAAATAGTATCCATTTCTTCAAAGTACCTGAGTATGCTATATTCGATTCTGTATAAAGTGAATATGTACTGGTAATAAGTTGTAAACCAGGACGAAACACTTGTCCAATTCTCCATAGTTTTCTGTTACTGATTTCTAGTCATAAAATATTTTTAAATCACCTCAGTTACATTCATTTCAAAGTTCAAATCTATTTGTATATTTGAAATTGTTGCCGGTATCCAACTAATATGTATGCATATATATTAATTGTTTTAGTCATTATTTGCAGCATTTGGATGTTGTCGACGTGATAATATATATGATGACGATTATACACTGCTTGATAGAGAATTGATGAAATTTTATGTGAAACTTGATGTACTCACTGCTGCTCCATCTGTACTCATTTTAAAATCCGGTTTAAGAATTTGTTCTAATGGTGCTGCTAGAACAAATATACCAATAATACAAGATTATGCTTATTACGAAGTGAAACTACAAAATTATAGAGGGTCATGGGGAATCGGGCTGTGTACAGTAAATGTAAGTTGTTTATACAATTTTTTGATTCATATTATCTTCATCAACACTTTAATTATAAAAACACCTGTACACAATATGATCCATTACATATTAGTCATTTATACTACCAGTCAGCAATATATGACTCAGCATATTTGTATGTTATTTTTTCTTTAAATATCTCGTCCACGTAGCATAAAGATAAAATCATTGTTTCTACTCCTTGAAGGATATACGATTTAGTTAATATACGATGGTTGTTGGTATTTGATTATAGATGTCTTTAAATCATTATCTGCATATTTTCGAATGTTTATGTGGCATAAACACATCCACACTAACTAGCAAACGGCCAGCTTGCTAAAGGTTAAGATTGGTATCTAAATAAGATCAGTCTTTGAAGTTATTATTTGTTGGTTCAGACCATGTGGGGGGGTGTGGAAGTTTATTATTTTGTGTCAATGAAATAACCGTAGTTAAATTAAGTGTTAATGAAAAAGATAGTTTTACTCTTTATGATTTTCGGTTATATTATTCTATACTTTTCATTTTCTGAATTCATTTCTAACATTTTATTGTTGCTGCTAACATTTCCCTCACCTCACTATTTTTTCTTGGTTATTATCTTTTACTGTGTTGATGTGAAGTGTACAAACTTGGACTGTATACATTTTAGCTAGATTCTTCTTCATTCATAACTGTCTAACAATCACGTTAAAAATGTCAGAGAACAAAAGAAAACAGTTGCATAATTAAATGAGAATTATATACGAATAGTCACTGTATTTTATCTGAAAAGAAGCTTAGTTAAAAATCGTTTGCTACACTAGCAAATTACTTTTGTTATTTGACTGCTAACTAGGCTTTGATATCACTTCAATATTTTGAACATAAGGCTCATTTGTTATATATCTGGAATTGCTGTGACTTTATGTTCGGCTTTTTGTCACGCGATCCACCCACCAATCAAAATACGACTTATACAACCTTAGCACTGTGCCAAACCAATGACGTCCGACCGGTATGAGCAGCCTAGCGTCCTTATTGGTCCTATGCCCGCCTAGCCCGTCCGCTTGAGTCCAGAACAACAATACCAGCTTCCACTGTGCGAATCGAACCGATTTATTTATTTGAGACATACTGGGTTTATATATCAACCAAACAGACCGCAACGCACCATAAAATAGGAAATAACATTCATACACAATAAAGCCAAAAAGTGGCTGTGAACGTGGGAGGCAGTAGTCAATAAACTGAACATAGCCTAAGAACAGTAAATCGTACAATAATAAATTATAGGTCAAAATGAAGCTTACAGTAAGAGGAATATAAATATACATAATCTAATTATTGAATAGTTATACTAATATTAGTTAATTAATATGTCTCAGAAGTCACTCGTGATTTAATCTTCACTCGGATACAACAGGAACCAGAACTTGCGTGGTTGAAAACAAGTCGTCAGGAAATCATCAATACTTTATTGTGTTCTTATTTACTACTAATCCTTGCTTTTAATCATACGTGAGCGAGTGCCCTCTCAAAACGATACCACTGATATATTCAGGCTAACATGCATCATTTGTTGTTAACTTACCAATTATATAGTCATACTTGGCTTCCAGATACACTTTAGGTGTGAGTAATGGTGATACTATCTGATTGTTCAACCCAAAGTAGGTGTAGTATGATTCGAAGCTGAGACTTAGTGACTGAAATTGAAATGCCTTAACTACTCGGCCTCCGCTTTACCTATCCTTTACAGAAAGGGACGAAGTATTTTAATTTACTACTAGAAGATTAAAACTGCCATATTATCGTACTCTTAGTGTTAATCACATTCTGTTCTTACAATGAGTCTATTAAAAACTGAAAAATCCGATGAGTGTCAAGACCCACCAAGATTAGGTACCGTACTTCTTGCAGAAGTTACTCAACCATTAATACACGAAACTAAACACATGAATCCTTTTCTCATCGTATCGTACCAACTACCTGATGAGGTCTACGACAGTTTTATTACTAGAAAAATTAGAGCATTTTTTCAACATTGGCGAGGAAGTGAACAAAAGTCTTCAATAAACATCGGTTTCCTATCATCTTATTGAATGTTTCATGTCAGTAGTCCCTATTTAAATATCATTGTGACATTTAGGCGTTTAACTGGTACTTTATCGCCCATTCTGTATAAACCTCTTTATCGTAATTGTTGTGCGATAGCCACTTATCTTTGTTCCTCTCATTTGATTTATGCAAAAACAAGAATTAATGTTCGAATGACCAGTAAAGGCTGAGATGAATTTTTATGTTGCAATTGTTTACGTTTTGGAATTTTATGTCTGTTTAGTTTACTGGACTTACAATCAATAAGTGTATTTGACTATTTGGAACATGAT